CGCAGCCGAACGACTAATCCATGCCTTCATTTCCTCCCGCCTCGACTACTGCAACTCACTTCTTTACGGCATCAGCACTACATCCCTCAACAGACTCCAACGGGTTCAAAATGCAGCTGCACGTCTCCTCACGCATACCAAATCATGGCATCACATCACCCCAGTCCTCAAAGACCTCCACTGGCTTCCTGTCTCCCATGGCATCAACTACAAAATGCTGGTCCTCACCTACAAAGCCCTCCACCATCTGGCCCTCCCTTATCTCACAAACCTTCTCACTCCTTATCAACCTCCACAGTCCCTCAGATCCACCGCAGCCGGACTCCTATCCATTCCCACATCCACACTCTGCAGCTTTGGGGACAGAGCCTTCTCAGTGGCAGCTCCTAGGCTCTGGAATTCCCTACCCCAAGATCTCCGTGACTCTGAGTCCCTCACAGTCTTTCAGTCCCGCCTCAAAACACATCTTTTCAACTCTGTCTACCCATAAGCCCCCCCCCCCCCCCTCTCAATCAACTTCCTCTTGACTGCCTTTTTATTTGTTACTTACTTGTTTGCCTGTCCTTGTTTGTCTACCCTCCCTCATACTGTAAAGCGTCTTTGAGTTGTGAAAAGCGCTATATAAATAAAATGCATTATTATTATTATTAAATGATCGTGAGGATGATTGATGACGTTTGTTTGAGCCAGTCTGCATTCCCTGATGAAAAAACAAACCGATGCTTTTTGTAGTTGTACACCAACATGGATTAAACGTGTGTTTTTTTTACCACAATGTTGGGGAAATCAATGGATAAAATGCACGGATTATGATTAATATTATTATTCCCACTCCGATCGGGACACTAGGTCCACCGTTTCCCCGCAGCGAGGCTCCCCCCGTTGACAGTTTACGTGGGCTGGGCTGGGTGCAGTGGCGGACTGGCCATCGGGACGAAACCCGATGGGCCGGTACCGAAGTGGGCCGGCCGGATAAATCACTAGCACAGTGGTTCCCAAATGGTGTGCCGCGGCACACTGGTGTGCCGTGAGGCAAGTCCGGGTGTGCCGTGGGATTTTGTGACAACCATACGTTATTATTGCAATATACAACTACACACAAATAATTATTTTTTAATGTACTATATCAGTACTTTGTAGGTTTATATGTACGTAATCTGCGCGACTTGTGCGTCCACATCTCCACGTGCAGTGCTGCATAAACATGGCTGAGTCAGCGATAACTTTCGAGGGGTGGAGGTATGCCCATCACTTTGAGTCCGTCCGAAGAATAGACAGGAATGTGACGGTGAGGTGCAAACTGTGTCCAGGCCAGAAGCTGTTATCCACTGCTGGAAACACCACGTGGTCAAACCTCAACAAACACCTGCAAAGAACACATGCTAAGGTGAAGCTAACGCACACGCTATTTGTTGTTTGTTGATATCACGTAGTCTGTTCTTCTGCTCTGTTTTCCGGTTGTTGCCTGTTTGGAATGACAAATACACACTACCGCCGCTGCTGGTAAGGAAAGTTATTGCCACTCACGCATGCGCAGTTCGTACGTGCTCGGCGAGTAAAGTAACGAGTAAAGTCACGAGTTACTTTATGTAGATAGTAACGAAGTAGTGTAATATATTACTTTTTTTTAAAGTAATATATTACATTTTTTTAATAACGACCCCATCTCTGGAGTTGGCGTTCTCTACTCTGATTTACATGAAGAACAACAGGAGGTCACGGCTCTGTTGAACAGGACTTGCGAGTGGCCCTCTCCTCAGCAGTGTTGGGACTAACGCGTTACAAGTAACGCGTTACTGTAACGCCGTTATTTTTGACAGTAACTAGTACTCTAAAGCATTACTTTTTAAATTCAGTAACTCAGTTACCGTTACTACATGGTGCGTTACTCCGTTAGTTTTTTTTATATAGTCAACAGCCAGGCGAACAGAGATGAGAACTGTACTTAAGTACAGTACTTGAGTAAATGTACTTAGATACTTCCTGTGTCACATGCGGAGACGCGCTGTGGGCGTGTTTGTGTTGTTTACTAACAAGACTATCATGGCGGCGGCGGAGCTCAAGTCTAGTTTCTCCACCTGGAGATATTCTCACTATTTCACTTTTGTCGAGCACAAAGAAAAGAAAGTTTCTGTTAAATGTAAGTTGTGTCCTGGCGGGTCAAAGATCTTATCTACTGCCCAAACCAGTAATTCAAATCTCTTAAAACAAATGCAAAAACAACATGCTGGGACGATGCTAGTAGCTAAGACCACAGAGACTCAGCCGACGCCACTCCACCTCCACCTAAGCAACAGCGGCTGGATTTTAACCAAGGGACTGCTAGCCAGGGAAAAGTCGATAAAGCCATTGCACGGTATGTTGTAGAACACATGCAGGCTATTGCTACAGTGGAGTCACCCGCTTTCAGGGAGCTAGTTAGCATGATAGCATGTCCGGGCGGCACACGGCATATGGGACGGAAAACTTTTTCCAACTACCTGGAGAAAGAATATACAAAAATGGAAAGCCAGCTAATATCGATGCAATCCAGATTGCATATAATGCATGTCAAGTTGATCAACAGATTGTATTATTCTCCAATGCAATACCAGTACTGAAATGAAGGCTATAAGGGCATTAATGGGAGCCCTTTTTTCAAGTAACGAAAACGTTACTTTTCACATTAACGCATTACTTTTGGGTTTAAGTAACGAGTAAAGTAACTGAGTTACTTTTGAAATGAAGTAACTAGTTACTGGTTTTCAGTAACTAGCACAACACTGCTCCTCTGTGCCACCAAGGATTAAAAAATGATGCGCGCCCCGACAGGCACATGTATCTCACTAATTTGTAAGTCGGCAAAAATATTTACAATAGCACATGTTGCAATGCTGATTGCTGAAATGTTACATTTATAATTTGTAGTTCAGGACCATGGACAATGCAGCTTCCTTGCATTGACAGTTCTCTGTGCTGAATTTCTGCTGAATTTCCTTTGCCTCATTTTTTATGTTGTGACCTGTCTGGTTTAAATGAGTGTGTTGCTGCTTTGATGAAGTTTGATAAAGTTTCAAATTAATTTCTGAAATATTTCGTTAATAAATATTTCATGAGTAATATAGTTGTCTGTCACATTTTATTTGGCATTAGTAAATAATTATGCACATTTACAGATATTTTACATGATATGAGTGATAACACGTGTTATAAGGGCTATTTTGCACAATAGGTGTGTCTTGAGATTTTTACTTGTCCTTTGGTGTGCCTTGGGCACAAAAAGTTTGGGAACCACTGCACTAGCACATCCCCCACTCCCCCCGTTGACAATTACTAACGGTACCTAAGTGGGCCGGTCGAGAGTTCCGGGCTGATTTTTAGTCCCAGTCCACCACTGGCTACATGACCGTATTATCGCCCATATTGACGCACTTAATTCCTAAACTTCTAACAGATACAACATAAACCGATCTTTCAGCCTCATATGAGCTCTCAGACACGTTCAAAATTAAACTGTTATCGCTGTCTGAGCTTGCTGCTGTGTGCGCCATTGTGCGTTTGCATGCAGATGCTGGGATCCGGACGGTGCAGCTGGAGCTCTTGGACCGCAAATACGTCACACATCATTTGGCGGGATTTGAAGAATCCCCAAGAAGATCCAGAAAATGGTCAACATTGAAGAGGAGATTAATGGTTATCAAAGTACAAATATCCCAAATCAGTTCAGTAACGATTTCAAGGGGACAATATTTAGTAAAATTGATGGCTTTGGATGATGGGTGAAACCCGTGTCACAGACTCTTTAATATATTTATTAATATATATCCACAGCATTAAGAGCAGAACAGTCAGATTCTGTAATAGCTTTTTCCCCCATGCCATCAGACTGCTCAATATTAAGTAGACCAGTAACACAGAGATTACATTACGCTGTGTAAAGCGCACATATTTTCTATATAGTATGTCTATTTTATTTATATGTATACAGTAGTAAGTCTTTATATTTTAAACACACACTTTATCTTTAATTGTATCAGCACCACGTCACTATTATTTATTTATATGTACAATTTTAGCAAGTTTTTAATATTGTCCTGTTCCTGTAAGCCAGTACAACGACATTTCGTTTTAATAGTAGTACACTCTGTGTCTTGTTGAAATGACAATAAAGTATGTCTAAGTCTAAGTCATATTATAATGCATTAATGGTTGCTATGCAACAATAAGGCAGGATATCCTAGACTCATGCTTGAAATGCAGGAATGGAAATATGTTTATGGGATGTGGATGAGTAGTGTTCTTCGCTGGTCACTTTTTGTCAACATGCTCTTGTACTGACAGATGGTTGGATCATTGCAATATCTTTTTTATCTGGTTAGTAAAATAAATATAGGCTTCACCTTTGGGGGGGGAGGAGGTTGCTCTTTTTCAGGTTGGAGCAACAGCCCCTCAAAAGGTCATCCCTGTGGACGAATAGCGTCTTTGTCAGATCTGCTCTGTGTGTGATTTTGTGCCTCAATATTCACATGTTTTATTCAGAATTCAGGATGGCTAGCAATACTGTTATTTTGTGGAACTCTCATAAATCCTAGTACACAATGTAATGTGTAAAATTATGCCACATGTATCATATATTTTCAGAAATCTAACTTTTATTACAGATATTACTGTTAAAAGGGAGGGGTTGTCTTTTCTTTTGGCAATATAAATGTGAATTCAAATGGTTAAGACATCCACATTATACTGTATATGCAGCACATTTAGTATAAATATTTAACTGAATCAGGTTAAAGTGTTATCTTTATTAAACAGCACAAGCAGCACATCAGCACCAGCTTGCTTTAGTCCTCCATTTGTGTCACAGGATTCGTTCAGGCACAGTATTGAGTGTAGCTCAGCCACACAATAATTGTGGTTATATGCATACAGCTGAATAAAAAAAGCTTAAAAGGTAACAGAAACGGTAAAGTATGAGTAAGACAGAAGGCATTAACAGCTGCATTCTGTTTGTGTTCCTGCAGACTCTTGACTATGAAACCAAGAAGTCGTACACCTTCAAGGTGGAGGCATCCAACGCTCAGCTGGACCCCCGTTTCCTCCACCTGGGGCCCTTCAAGGACTCTGCGACAGTGAAGGTGAGCGTCCTGGACGTGGACGAGCCCCCTGTGTTCGTCCAGCCGTCCTACTCTCTGGAGGCGTACGAGGACACGCCCCCAGGGACCATCGTCGGCTCGGTGACGGCGCAGGACCTGGACGCCAGCAGCAGCGCCGTCAGGTAGAACACAAGTACACAAGAAAACATAAACATGGCTACATTAAGAGGATTTACATTCAGTATTATGAGAAGCAGGCCAATCAATTGAAAACATGTATTGATTTAATCGCAATAATAATCTATGATTGATCATGATTAATCACAAGTTTAAATATTAGTAATTACTTTATTTATTTGTAATCTTTCAAAACATAGTTACAAAGTGCTTTCACATAAAACCGAACAACAGTAACATCATAGACTGGTAAAAATACATGAAGAGCAATTGACCTCAAACTGAACTGTAGGCCTACTACAGTAAACAACAGCATCTAAACATAAAAAGTGCAACAGATAAATTATTCAACAAAAAACAATATTTCCATAATACTAAATAATATACAAATAAAATAAGACCACATAAGCAATTTTAGAAAAAAGTTAGTTTTTATTAGTAATGTCTGGTGTGCTGTTGTAAATAATCTTAAAGTAAACAAAATGTTCAACCTGATTTAAAATATTAAAATATACAACAGTGATATAATGAGTGTCTTTGTGCTATCACAATCACTTCTAAAACACACATTGAGAAGTCAAATCAGACAATAATGCGACGACACAGTCTCATCACAGGGTTTGAGAAGTCTGGAAAGTACTCACTCACAGTACTAACATTTATTAATCCTTGAGAACTTTGTCTACTGAATGCTTTTATGATCAAAGGCTCCTGAACTCTTACTAAATGACAGAGACATGTGAAAATCAATTGACTTTGTTGGGGGATCATTTAGTGGACTGTCTACAAATGTTGCAGATTTGTTCAAGGACAGTTCTTCAGTGTGGGTCACCCACGTTCAGAGACCAATACACAACCAGTGTAACCGGTCTGTAAGAGGAAAGCACACCTGGAGCCTTTAGGAATGCCTTGGTTTGCAATTATATTGTATTTCTCAGGTAAAAGTTGAAGTAAAATGTGGGTCAGTTGCGGGAGTTAGTACTGCAGATACAGGCACCAAAATGTCCACATTCATCCCTTTGGGGTCATTTATTTAAAAAAGCTCGTCAGGCACTGCATTTACAGCCTAGGAAACAGTATTTTACCACCTAATTTTAAACACTGGATCAATTTTGGTGATTTTCGTATAGAGATATATGTTTTAGACTATGGGGAAGTCAAATGTACACTTATGAAACTTCTTCAGAGCCTTTTTGTATAATTTTAAACACCAAAGGGAAAAATGAAAACTAAAACACTGGATTATTGCAAAAATATATATATTATAACGGTTTTTAAACTCCAACAGGAACTATATTCTTACCATGTTTAATAGAAACATTAGATAACATTGACACAGTATGATCCTATGTTCGCATGTATTCACTGCAGTAAAGAAACAGTAAATTGCTTAAAAGGCAAATTGAGTGCACCATCTGAGCGACATTTCTTCTAATATGTCCTGATACATTCATTTATCTGCAGCACTGAGTTGCAAACCGAAGCACAGAACAGCCTATTCGTTAATATGTTGCTTAAACTGACTGTGCCCGACTGCAGGAGTGAGAGCATTTCTCTAATGTTGGCCCGTAATTCCTCTCCTGTTTCCCTTCCATGTTTCCTCTCCCCTCTGCAGGTATTCCTTGGAGTGGCAGACAGAGTCCGACAGCTGTTTTGACATTGACACTGTTGAAGGAACCATTTCCACCAATGACTTTCTGGACAGAGAGACAGCAGATCAGCACATTATCACTGTTGTGGCAACCAAAGTCAGTAAGTATTCCACGATGCACACAACCTATATCTGACACAGGGGACAAACAGCCCGGAGCTCATCGTCCACAGAGGAAACTATGTGTTGTGTGACATCACATTGCTAACTGTTTTGCTATAGCCGCACAATGTACCCTGGACTTCTCCATATGGGCTGGATAGAGGTTCACCTCCTATATTAGAGGTTGTATTCTTTAAAAATCTGAAATACACGTAGAGTCAGGACTATTAAATTCATACTCATAGATAATAAGTTCATAGAATTGATTGTGCTTTTTGGGTTTTTCCCTCTCCTCTAGTGTGTTCTATAGGTTTGTGTGCATGTAAATGGTCTGCAAAGGCTAACATCCCTGTGTTCCCTCCAGAGGGAGTTTCTCTCAGCAGTAGAGTAATGTGGGATTTCACATGTCTGTCACTCATACTCAGACTTGTACATGAAAGGAAAGGTTTAACCCATTTGTTAAGGCTTGAACTTAAAAAGATGTGACATATTATTGCTAACCTGACCAGTGTCTTATCTGTTCTATTGTCACACAATCCAAATCAGTTCAAAACATTATTGGGAATAACAGTAGTGAGAGTCCACAACACACACATTTTTGAACTACATTTACATTGCATTACAGTGGCATTTTTTCCTTTTTAACTTTTGTGAACGTACACTATACTGTATGCTCTGTAATAGTCGTGGACAGAGCAAGATCTACAGTGTACTTTAAATATTATATTATCGGGGCATGATGGAAAACACACCTTCTGGACTGGACTAAATCATTTAGCATATTTTAGGTAGTGTATTGTTGAAATCACCCTTCGAGAAATAAATGCAGTCTAAACGAGGCTTAATACTGAGATTTAACAGTAAACCCCAACAAAATAAGTTATCTGGTTAGATGGGGCGGCTGTGGCTCAGTGGATAGAGTGCTGAACTTCGTATCAGGGGGTAGCAAGTTCGAGTCCCACTGCAGTCAGCATGTCGTTGTCCCTGGGCAAGACACTTCACCCCAAATTGCTCCTGTGGGGATTGCCCACATTATTGAGTATGTAAGTCGCTTTGGATAAAAGCGTATAACAAATGACATGTAATGTAATGTTATCTTCTGTTGTAAAACAACATTCTGACAGTAATCAAAAGGTTTTAGGTCAATTTGATGTCATAGTCTGGCTTGTTGAACTCATATTGTTACCTTGTTGCACATTGAGACTGCTGTCCTGTTCAATTAATAGGATTTTGAACACTATCGAATACAGTAGATAGTTACTGTGGTTCTTCTTGCGTGTGTATTCTTGTCTCACAGTTGCTCTGCTCATCGCTCACACACACACACACACACACACACACACACACACACACACACACACACACACACACACACACACACACACACACACACACACACACACACACACACACACACACACACACACACACACTCTGGAATAATAGCCACATGTCCCTTCATCAAACTGTGATTCTGCACTGTTAATGTCCACATGTTAAAGGGTTGTTGAGCAAGGCATTCAATGGTGATATAAATATTGTGATCTCCCCACATTACAGCCTCTCCAGCCATCATCACATTTAAAACAACATTTAAAAACTATTCTAATCAGAAACATCTGCAGATAAAGAAATGACAAGTTATTTGAAGTTTGGCATGTTAAATTGAATTGACTAGTTGAATAATGTTTTTATGTTGTTATAATAATACGTGCCCCATTAAGACTATCTTTATTATTAGTATATATGATACACTGAACTCAGCTGTCTGTACAGGGGGCTTTAATGTAGTCTGGTTAGTATCTGGCTCCATCTGGTGGCCAGAGGTTGTTCAGTAAGCTACTGCTAGAACAGATCGGTTTACAAGTAAAAAATTGAAAAAGATATAAATATGTATTACTTAAATTATGTAACATATAAAACATTTTCTACATCGTCTTATGTAAAGTGTGTTGTCAGGAAAAACTAGTGAGTGGATATTAGAAAACAAATTAAAAATATCAAAGCTGTTTCAAAATGTGGATGTCCAGAGAAACAAATCCACATGTCCATTTTCAAAAGTTAACATACTCATAATTGAGGGAGAACGTTATTTTGTTATATTATCAAATATTATAGAATATCACTCTGATCTCTGCTTACACTAATACACTTGTAAGCAGAAATGTGATGTAGCTAGTTGTGAAGCAGCAAACTTCAAGTATTTTAAGGTATTTGATGATACAATTATGCTTGATGTTTTATGGTGTCATTATATAGGAGGTTTTCAAAATATTAATTTGCAAAGGAACTTTGGCTTCAACGGTCGAATAAACGTTGAGGAGCAGAGGTAGAATGTAGACACTGCACAGTGCACCAAGAGAATTATACCTGCTAAAACAAAAACAATAATTAACACATTTATTGAAGTGAATGAAATAATAATGTGCTTTATGAGTAAGGCATTGATGTTATATGACTTCCTGTCATCATCTTCACACACACACACACACACACACACACACACACACACACACACACACACACACACACACACACACACACACACACACACACACACACACACACACACACACACACACACACACACACACACACACTTGATGTCTCATAGAGTCCTCTCTGTAGCGTTAACTTGTGAATGAATGTGTGTCACTGACTGTATGCTTCCTGCCCTCACAGGTAACCCCACGCTGTCCACTAAAGTCCCGGTGACAGTGGACGTACTGGACGTGAACGAGTTCCCCCCCGAGCTGGCCCCCCCCTCACAGACATTTGTGTGTGAAGACTCCAGAGGGGGACAGGTAAACTGCTGATAGTATGTGAAGAAAAGGAGAAACACGTGTGTTACTTAAACTATTTTGATATATGAGTTAGGTCGTGTTATCTAATATGAGTCATTCAAACTGGGTGTACATAACTGAATTCCAGAGGTGGGAAGTAGTGGAGTACAAATACTTCGTTACTGTACTTGAGTACATTTTTCTGCTATCAGTACTTTACTCCACTAATTATTTTTCTGACAACTTTTTACTTTTACTTCTTACATTTTGAACCCAAATACCTGTACTTTCTACTTCTTACATTTTGAACACAAATACCTGTACTTTCTACTTCTTACATGTTGCACCCAAATACCTGTACTTTCTACTTCTTACATGTTGAACACAAATACCTGTACTTTCTACTTCTTACATGTTGAACTCAAATACCTGTACTTTCTACTTCTTACATGTTGAACACAAATACCTATACTTTCTACTTCTTACATTTTGAACACAAATACCTGTACTTTCTACTTCTTACATGTTGAACTCAAATACCTGTACTTTCTACTTCTTACATGTTGAACTCAAATACCTGTACTTTCTACTTCTCTAATTTTCCAAACAGCTGGTTCCTTTAGTCTGAATGTGTGTTTGGTGGCGTGATCATTATTATTTAGTCATTGCGTGCCTATTGATTTGAACACGATCCGTGTATCCATCCTGGTCTTCTCTAAAGAAGAGGGACCAATGAGAACGTTGTAATGTTGCCGTTGTTCAGCATTTGATTAATATAAAGTGAGGTCAGTTACTCTTTAAAACATTTGGTAGTTATGGGTACTTTTTACTTAAGTACATTTCGAAGCCCATACTTCTTTACTTTTACTTGAGTAAAGAAGTTTAGTCAGTACTTTTGCCATCTCTGCTGAATTCTATATGAAAACTTGACACCATGCCCCTGTACACTGAGTGTGATGCAGCATGTTGTGTGTGAGCAGGTGATCCAGACGCTGAGCGCCCTGGACAGAGACCGCCCCCCCGTGGGACAGAGGTTCTTCTTCAAGGCCCCCAAAGAGCTGCGCAACAGGAACTTCACCGTGCGGGACTTTGGAAGTAAGTAAGAAGGGGATTAATGTTAAATAGTCATATATATCACTCTGTTAAGCACTTTACATTACAAGTCAGCATTCACCAGGGTTGGTAGAGTTACCTTAAAAATGTAATCCGTTACAATTACTAGTGTAGGAGCAAACACAATAGTGGTGGCTTAAAGCCCACCTCTGCTCCGCGCCGTCCTTTAGATGAGCCTGGTCAGATTGATAAAAGAGGGAGTTCAACACACCGGCATAAAAGTTATAACAATAATCTGATTTTAATGGTAAAAAACACCAATACAAGTATACAGAGTACTCCGGACTCCCAGTTCTACTGCTGTGCGATACAGGTATCGGGACCAGCCAGTCAGAAACAGGGGGCATTTTGCATGACTACACTACAGTATATATATGGATATATTTTGAGGTGGAGAGCCACTTCTTATCTTCCACCGGACCCAACTCCTTTAATTTCCCAGGGAAGGTTTCACACAAACTATTCTTTTAAAACAATCAAACATTGTACACAGATATATTGGTATTGAACATTGTACACAGATATATTGGTGCTTGGGATTATTCGCCCCAGAAAGAACCTTGGAAAAAGAACATGTGTGTGTGTTAGTGAGGGAAAGTGTATGTGTGTGTGTGTGCATGCTGATAAGCAGAGGCGTATGTGTGTGTGTTGCTGATATCTGGGTTAAGGAGTTTATGTGTGTGTGCTGCATGGAGACAGGAGGTGTATGTGTGTGTGTCAGGGTCTCTGGGTCATGGAGTGTAAGTAAGAAGGTTTAGATATATAGGATTACTTTAAACAGTCCCAAATAATACATGTTCACTTCAATATAGTTCAAGATAATACCTGTTTACTTTAATACAGTTTAGAACAATATCTGGGTGCTTTACTAGTTACTATTACAATTACTAGTATTACCGGTGACCTAATGTATGTATTACTATTTATAAGTAATGTAACCTGAATACTTAAAGTTACTTTTGGATCACCTCAGTATCAAAAATGTGTGTAAAAAAATTAGGCCTGCCGAGTAGTATGGTTTATACTTGTCGCCAATGTTACACTGAACAAAAATATAAATGCAACACTTTTGTTTTTGCTCCCATTTTTCATGAGATGAACTCAAAGATCTAAAACATTTTCTAAAAATAACCATTTCTCTCAAATATTGTTCACAAATCTGAAAAAATCTGTGATAGTGAGCACTTCTCCTTTGCCGAGATAATCCATCCCACCTCACAGGTGTGGCATATCAAGATGCTGATTAGACAGCATGATTATTGCACAGGTGTGCCTTAGGCTGGCCACAATAAAAGGCCACTCTAAAATGTTCAGTTTTATCACACAGCACAATGCCACAGATGTCGCAAGTTTTGAGGGAGTGTGCAATTGGCATGCTGACAGCAGGAATGTCCACCAGAGCTGTTGTCCGTGAATTGAATGTTCATTTCTCTACCATAAGCCGTCTCCAAAGGCGTTTCAGAGAATTTGGCAGTACATCCAACCGGCCTCACAACCGCAGACCACGTGTAACCACACCAGCCCAGGACCTCCACATCCAGCATGTTCACCTCCAAGATCGTCTGAGACCAGCCACACGGACAGCTGCTGCAACAATCGGTTTGCATAACCAAAGAATTTCTGCACAAACTGTCAGAAACCGTCTCAGGGAAGCTCATCTGCATGCTCGTCGTCCTCATCGGGGTCTCGACCTGACTCCTGTTCGTGGTCGTAACCGACTTGAGTGGGCAAATGCTCACATTCGATGGCGTCTGGCACGTTGGAGAGGTGTTCTCTTCACGGATGAATCCCGGTTTTCACTGTTCAGGGCAGATGGCAGACAGCGTGTGTGGCGTTGTGTGGGTGAGCGGTTTTCTGATGTCAATGTTGTGAATCGAGTGGCCCATGGTGGTGGTGGGGTTATGGTATGGGCAGGCGTATGTTATGGACGACGAACACAGGTGCATTTTATTGATGGCATTGTGAATGCACAGAGATACCGTGACGAGATCCTGAGGCCCATTGTTGTGCCATTCATCCACGACCATCACCTCATGTTGCAGCATGATAATGCACGGCCCCATGTTGCAAAGATCTGTACACAATTCCTGGAGGCTGAAAACATCCCAGTTCTTGCATGGCCAGCATACTCACCGGACATGTCACCCATTGAGCATGTTTGGGATGCTCTGGATCGGTGTATACGACAACGTGTTCCAGTTCCTGCCAATATCCAGCAACTTCGCACAGCCATTGAAGAGGAGTGGACCAACATTCCACAGGCCACAATCAACAACCTGATAAACTCTATGCGAAGGAGATGTGTTGCACTGCGTGAGGCAAATGGTGGTCACACCAGATACTGACTGGTTTTCAGACCCCCCCAATAAAGCAAAACTGCACGTTTCAGAGTGGCCTTTTATTGTGGCCAGCCTAAGGCACACCTGTGCAATAATCATGCTGTCTAATCAGCATTTTGATAGGCCACACCTGTGAGGTGGGATGGATTATCTCGGCAAAGGAGAAGTGCTCACTATCACAGATTTTTTCAGATTTGTGAACAATATTTGAGAGAAATGGTTATTTTGTGTATATAGAAAATGTTTTAGATCTTTGAGTTCATCTCACGTGTTGCATTTATATTTTTGTTCAGTGTAATTATAGATTTATATTATATTTGAAAACATTTAGATCACTCCAAATTGTTCTCAAATCTCAATCTCTACATGTATGGCAGCCATTCCATTCCAGTGTCTGTTGAATTCCAGCACAGAGAAATCACTAGTTTATAGAACAGAATTAAATTAAAATGAATTTTACTGAAACACATACCTATAAATAGAACAACCAGAGAAACTGATAATGCTGCAGTGGTCTCTTAAGTTTCACCTATAATAGATCGATATTTTTAAAATAATGTATTGTAACAATGCAATCTCGTTAGTAATCCCTTTTTTTTTTTTTTTAAGTTACCAGTAATGTGATAACGTCTTTTTTTTATGTAACTGTATCCTTTTTTTTGTATCCTGATAACGTAATCCAGTTACAAGTAATCCATTACTCTCTGACCCTGTGCATTCAATAAATGAGATTTCCAGTTTCAAGGCGGTCCTGGGGCCTCATTTATAAAAGGGATATATGCTCAAAAAATGGCGTACGCCAGTTTCTACGCAATGTTTGCGATTTTATAAAAAACAAACTTGACGGGAAAATGTGCGGTCCTCCATGCAAACTCTGACCCATGCGTACGCACTAAGCACAAAAACGGGAGAGACGAGAAACTGCGACACCGTTGGCAGAAGGAAGAATGGAGAGAAATATGTGGAAATAATACCATAAATAGAATGTTACCTCATTTATCATATAAGAAGAATTCATTTTCAAACATTGATTAAAGTCAATCTTAAAATGATTTAACAAACGCCTGTTTGAGACATAACTTGGAGAAATAAATAAATACGGACATTTTATTTAAAACCACCTCGAATATGTTGTGTTAATGTTATGAAATGTTTTCTCATAAATGATGCGGTAAGCAGGAGGACAGAATTACGTCTAAACTGACGCCGTTTTGCATTTCTATAGGTTGTATACGATACGAGCATGCAGGGCCGCCCCTGGCTAACTTGGGGCCCCAAGCGACATTGTGAGATGAGAAAAGTAATAGCCATCGATTCCCGACCGAGCTGAACGTTTTGATGTTTGAACGGAGTTTCTGCGATGTTCAATGCGGGAGGAGAAGCGCGGCAAAATACTAAATAATAATAAACTTTTCGTGCGTAGAATAACAGATAGTTGGAATGCTGTTAACAGCATTCCCACTAAATGAATGGTAAATAAAGAATGCTGGAAATAACTGCATCTCCATTAGCCTATACCAGGGGTCGGCAACAGGCGGACCGCGGTCCGGATCCGGACGCCGACCTATACGGACCCGGACCTATAATCAATACATTAATAGGGGATTTCAATGTTGACGGGGTGATTCTATTTTAAACGCCGCCGACAGGGGGCGAAAGAGACGAGTGAGCGATACAGGGAGAGAAACACAGAAGAAGAGACGAGTGAGCGATACAGGGAGAGAAACACAGAAGAAGAGATGAAAGCGCGGCAGAGAGAAGCGGTGAGGAAAGTGAGTGAAGAGAATAATTAGCGATACAGGGAGAGACAAATGTTAGCGTGTTAGCGGCAGACAGGGAGAGACAAATAATTACACATGGCGCTCTCCAAGAAGAGGAAAGTGGACAGTGAGAACAGAGCTTTTAACCCTGAGTGGACTCATTCATGTTCATCCTGCCCACTGGGAGCACAGAACCAGTGTGTCTCATTTGTTCAGAGACCGTGGCGCTCATTAAAAGCGCCAAAACGCTACTATGAGACAAAACACAAAGTGTTTGACCAAACATTCCCTCTCAAGTCAGAACTGAGGTCACAAAAAATAATCAGTCTCAGAGCCCAATATGATCAGACAGTCGACCAGGATCAAAATGAAAACTAAATATGGTTCCAGCGCAGGCTAACCGAGGCTAACCAATGAGCACCTGCATGTGTGTATGAGAATGGCCCTGACACCATTTCAGCTCAGATCTAAACTCCTGGCAGGACAAGATGGAGCTCAATTCTCGTACTGAATTAAAAAAAAGCGAGTGATGGACTGCAATATAAGAGGGAAAGAAAGAGAAACTTTAAAACTGTTCAATTGTTATGATGTGTAAAGACTGATATTGTTCTATAATCGTCTGAAACTGTTATGATGTGAAACGGTTAACAAAGAAAAAGGGAAACTCAAGCTGCTGCTACACTTTATTTTATTTATCTAAAATTAAGCACTTTTAAGATGCACACATTTTCAAAAGCTATTTTATTTATTTTCTCTATTTTATTTATTAAATGCAGCCCGAGAGGAACATTACACATATCCACAGTATTTACTGTATATCTGTATAGTTCAATGTTAATTGACAATAAATAGTTGTTTATGAATTGTACTTTCTTTATTTGAT